GGGCCGTTCCAGAACCTTCTTCAAGTTCTTCAGAATGTTCTGGGCCGTTCCAGAACCTTCTTCAAGTTCTTCAGAATGTTCTGGGCCGTTCCAGAACCTTCTTTAGGTTCTTCAGAATGTTCCGGGCCGTTCCAGAACCTTCTTTAGGTTCTTCAGAATGTTCCGGGCTGTTCCAGAACCTTCTTTAGGTTCTTCAGAATGTTCTGGGCCGTTCCAGAACCTTCTTCACTCCATCAGAGCTATGTTGGTCAGATTGTTTCAGATGTAAGGGGTATGAAAACTTTTGGGCCTAACTTTATTGTGGAGAAGAGGTGCATGAAGAAGGCCAGGAACGTCTGGCTAATGGTGAGCTCCTACGGCTTTGGGCCTAACATCGTTACCATGACAACCGCCTGATGCAACGGCTCCTCTAGGTTCTCCAATCAGAGGCTCTCTCTCTCTCTGCCATCTTCCTCTCTGGGTTCATTTGGTGACTGGCTGAATGTTAAGGATCAAACTAACCTTCTGACTGGGGGGGGCAGCAATTTACAGATTCTGGTATTTAATGAGTAAAATGCAAAAACATACCACATGATTGAGGAAGCTTAGGAATGGAAGCTAATGAAATCATGAAGGGAGGGGCCCCGCGGCGCCATCATCAGAAAGCGTATCTGTCTGTAGAGGCAGGGCTTCCATCAGGACCTGGTGATCCAGTCATTCCATTAAAGCGTTAACCAGTTAACCAGTTAACCATCTGTCAGTAAAATCACTCTTTGTGTTTAAGGTTTGGTAGATTTAATCATAAACCATCGTCTGCTGCTTTTTCTCTTCAGGGAACAAGGACTGAATCATCTTCAGCGTATTTATGCACAGTCAGTTCCCACGCCTCTGATAACAGACGGGTGTTCAGAGAAAAAGCCACCAGGAACAAACCTTTCCTCTGGTTCACTAGTTTTTCTGCGATAGTTTTATCACCTTTTCTGGTGTTTTTTCTCCGTCTCTGGAGGAAATTCTGAAGACTGCGTCGTTTCTGCTGCTGTTGCTTTCAGTCTTTAGCTTTGCAATCTGACGATCGCCTAAAACGCAGCCGGACTTGAACTGGCTTCCTTCCCAAAGCTACGGCTAAGCTAATTTAGCTAAGCTGTCGTTAGCATTCGTTAGCATCTATAAATTTGGGGTGTATGCTTCATAACCTAAAATGCTGTTTATGAATTTTGACTATTAATATCAGATCTTTTAGTTGAAAACTTGTTTTTCTAACAGGTGAAATTATGTAAATATCAGGAATCGGTTGTTGCAGACGAGCTGAAATGGTTCCAGGTTTTCTGGATCAAACCAATTTTCTCTGTCTTTGGGTGGAATGTGATGATAATGAACGGCTGGGATCAGTAAAGGTTTGTTGTTTTTCCAGGTATGACCAACATCGTTATGAGGCTGTGGCGAGTGGCGCTCTGGGGAAGGCCTCTGACCTGCAGAAGTACGTCTTCATCTACAAGTAAGATATTTATCCTTTCTGTTGAATCAGTGGAACGTTTTTATTATTTTCCTTCCAGCATTCAGACCTTCCTAACGGCTGCATGGCTCCTCCAGCCTTAATGAGGGCCACCCTTCCATAACCCTAATCTTTAGGTCCCTCCTCTCTGGCCTGGACTCTGAAGGCTGGTTTATGCTCAGGGGCTAGTGGTGAGAACTTTGAATCCAGAGGTTCTGAGTTCGAGTCCCACAGCCTCTACTCTGGCTCCCTGAGCAAGACCCTTAACCCCACACTCCTTCCCGGGCGTCGCACAATGGCAGCCCACTGCTCCCCAAGGGGAGGGGCTAAATGCAGAGAATGGAATGAGAATTAAAGCTGTTAAAAATAGAATAGAATAGAAAATCCCTTTATTTTCCCACGATGGGGAAATAGTGGTGTTACAGCATCAGCAAAAGGATAAGAGGGAAAAAAAATAGCCACACATTTTGGACCTTAGAAAATGTCTAAGAATAACATAATAGTAAAGAGTTAAAAGATAAACAATAAAATCCTGTAAAGTGTTTTATTTATAAAACCAATGAGAATAAATAACCAATAAGCAGCTATGGACATTTTTCCAGTAATTTGAAAATAGCAGCAACATCAGAGACGTGCAGAATGACAGCAGTCTGTCACTGGGGGAGCTCTCCAGTTCAGCACCAGCTCAACCAGCATGGGGGGGGGGG